ATTCTGTAGTGGCTAGATGGTAACAGAAACCTTCCTTAAAGTGCCCATAACTTAACAAATTTTCAAGTCATGGGATAAAGAAGACGCAAAACGAACAGAATACGAAGAAAAACAGTCAAAAACTCATATTTTTAATATATTTAAGACTAGGGTCTAATTTATATGAGTAGTTTTTTTTTACTTCTTACAATTTAGTATGCACTAATATTTTGGGATTTCTAGTAATGAGCTACGTATACAGTGCTTTCTTTTACTGTTTTGTAAATATGTACGTATAATAAAAATTACAAGCATATGTTGATTTCGACTGATCAAACGAGAGCTCAGCAGACTTCATTGATTTCAATTGGTTCAATAATAATCGTTTTACTGTGAAATTTTCCGCTCCCTTCATACTAGCGAGATAAAATAAAAATACTGGGTTTTATGTCTGAACGTAGGAGTTTTAAATAAGAAATTTCCTCAAAATCGATCGGGTAGTTTTTGTTTGATGCCTAAACAAACAAAACAAAAGACATCACATGGTCGTTTGTGGTGACAGGATTGATTGGATGAAACTAAATTTTATGGTAGGGGTATAAGTCGTAAAATTTAGTGATACGTAATTGAAACAATTGTATTTTTCTAACAAATAATCTGGTACAATATCTGGTACAGCTCGTTGTATTGAAGTGAAACCTACATTTTCACTTTTGATTGCATGTCAATTTACAGTTATTTAAGTAAGAACCGATGCGAGATTTTGGCGGAACAAATACATTTTTATGGATTAAATTAGCATTTTACATGGGTCGAATAAACTAGATCATTTCTTCATTTATAGCATCCGAAATAAAGTGTGATAATGTAAACGTTTGGATAAATTGTTTGTCTAATAGATATTTAGCAAGACTCCTTACAGAAAAATATTGGAATGTTTTAAATGCGGATGAAAACTAATAGCTGTTATTTCAAATAAAGTATACAAATACGATGATACTAAATATTTCAACTTCATTTTAGGTTTCCATAAATATATAGATAATAGTAAGGTGCGAAAAATAAAATTCTGTAATACGAAATTTTATATGTTTGTGGTGTGTACCAATCAAAAGATCCAGATCACCAATAGCTGTTGCAGTATTTTTTTGTTCTATTATACATACATCTAAACCTTATGTATCCTAAATCCTATCTTGTAGACTGGTAATGGTTCTTTTGCGAGCCCGCATATACCCTCTATTTTTATAATTTGGACAATTGTTGCAATCATTGAGCTTTTAATCCTATGGCTCAAGGTGGACAGTGACCTTTACGTTGTAGTCAATGGGCTCCGGTAAATGCAGATAACGAGTGAGCTTGTCTGCCTGATGTTACGAAATGAATATGGAGCAAAAACTAAAAAAAAGTGGTTCAATAGCAAGCCACAAAAGAAAGTTTATCCTGATGCTCCAAGTTAGGATTTGAAATGAAAGTAATTATATAAAATATATTTTTTAATAATCAGTGCTTGGTCGATGTACAAATTTTCAATTTAATCTGACGTCAAATAAATTTAATGAAAATTACGTTGAAAGATTCCGTTACATAAACAAACATAGGTGATGCTGAAAACGTACTAAAAATACCTAAGGCGTGTGTAAAGATCAAAGCGCAATATTACAGTCCATAATGTTACATAGTGCTAAATAAAAAAGACAATCATTTTAAGAGCAACTTTTGTAACAATTCAAGGAAAGATATAACTTACCCTCAAATTGTTACAAAATAAAGCCAGTGTGACTTTCGTATCTTCTGCGATTCTTTGAAGCCATAAAAGATGCTTAATGTGAAATAATATTTTTAAATTGTAAAAAATGACAAAATGAAAAAAAAAATTGAGGCACGAAAACGAATGCTTCACGCTCTCACTGAATCATAATAGTTCCTAATGAAATTTACAAACAGTTGATGTATTATATGTTTATGTATATATTTATAAAGTTAGCTCAAGTGATCGACATAGACACACTAATTTCAGTGTTGTAGTGGTCGAACGTCAAAAAAGTCGTTCACGTTTGATTTCAAGGCGTGAGTAATATTAATCTCAGTCTGAATAAAAATATCAGAGCCACAAGTTATCTTACAAATTAACTGGATCGTCTTTAATAGTAAGTTGGTACGTTATTTCCTAATATTCGCTTAAACTAAATATGAAGTTTTAAATTAATTCATGTTCAAGGCATTATCTCTTTACATATAATATCGTAGTATATTAGGAATGTTTCATTATTTATTTTTTCAAAATAAAAAATTTAAATATTTTCATTACCTCGGAAATTTGTTTAGTCTCTCGCATGTCAGTACTTTTAAGGAGGTTAACGACTCACACCGAAATTTTCGTCCGTTTAAGATATTACTTTGTTATTTTGGGAAGAAAAAATACAAAATAATATAAAATTCATGTTATATAAAGTAAAGTATAGAAACGACCGCGGAGGCCAATCTACATTATGCAGTCGCCTACATGTGTCGTATCGTTAACGGCTCAATATGGCAATGAAATATACATAAATAATATCGGCCAGTTTTATACCGACTCGGTTGCTGCAAATTGATACTATCGAAGCAATCGTTCAAGTCTTATGCACTTCAGTAGATTGATCAAATTCGTTCGCTTTATTGGTGATCTAAATTATTGTTATGACTTTGAAAAACAAATTGGTGACGACACTTTGTCTATTTTAACGTTTATTAAAATAGGCGCCAGCCGTTTCTAGCTTTGGTTTGATTTCTTTTAGAGGGGTGAAGGCTATTTGGTTTAAGCAACATTTTACTAATACGCGACATTTATCATTGTAATTAAAGATGCGTTTTATTTGGTATTAGCATCAACAGTTCGATGTTTTTAATTGAAATTTAGAATTAAGAATTAAGTTTACTCTATTCAAATAGCTGAAGAAGTTTTTTCTCATATTTTTTTTCAAAATTTAAATAAAGAATAAATAAAATAAAAACTATATGGCTGGCTCCCCTTATGATGTAATTTGTAAAGTTGCAAAAATATCGCTTAAACGATATAGCCTTTCACCCCTCGATACATAATTTAACGTTAAAAAAAACGTTAATTTCAGAGAAGCTCACGACTGGAATAAATATTACGGCCACAGCCAATAACACAGTTCGTCGCAAATTAATTCGGAAGCCGATATCGAATTTTATGTAACCGAAGTGATTGTAAAAAATATATTTTTAGACGCAAGCGCTAATTTGGTTTGCATGTTCCGAATTACACCTACGATCGTGATATTTCTCAAAAATAACGAGTGGGCATGAACCACCCGCATGCCGCCTTGTCATTAATCACGGTTCAGTTTGTGTATAGTCGTGGAGTTTTCTATGCAGCAAGCAGTCTACATCAAAGAAGTTTTCTGTTTAGGTATTCGGAACCTTTTTTTTTAAACCGTTTTGATTAGATCAAAAAGTTTAACGTTATAAAATACGAGCTGATTTGTTTGTAAATCTTGTGAATCATGTGCCTAGTTTGGCTGTATAAAATAATATTGCAACATAATATTTATAGGTATTAAAAATTTTAGTGTATATACGTGTTTTAATTATTCTTATCAGATTCAGTTTGTTTATCGAAAGTACTTTTAAATGTTTAAAATTCATTTTGTCGTTTATCTTAATTAATGTTTATTCCATAAGTTATTTATTATTATTTATTTATTTAAATATTTGTTCGTTATACGTGCTATACGTTATTTTATCCAAATGAATATAAACGTTATCTTTACAGACATTGTTACCACTTGAGTGATTTCTACCGTATTCTGAGTTTGATACGTAACGAGCAAGTCTATACAGAAAAATGGTGTGATATATATTTAGTGATAGTGCGGCTTCACCAGTTGAATGTAAATAAAAGTGTGATTCTGTGAATTTAATTATTCAATAATTGAGAGTTATTCTTTTTCGTTTGTTTGTACATATCAATATGGAATTTGTGTTGTTACTATTTTAAATTGATCTCTTAAGTTTGCTGCCTAAGTGAAGTGAAAAATAGAATACTACTACTTTGTTTTTTTTTTTTTTAATTGTCATAATTATTTCGGAACTAAAGTAAAGAACGCCCTTCCCAATTCGTCAGTATTAAGTGTTCTGAAATGGAATTAAAATAGTTTAACTTTTTGGGATAATGTGCCTGTATTATTTTGTTACAACATTAACGTTTTCATCGTCGCTCATGGATATCAGCAATGTCAGGTACACACAGCCAAGATGCCGCCTTTTGTTGAGGTCTGTCCTCAAATCATGTTTAAAGTAGGACATGACATAGCGTTTGGGGAGTTTTATGGAGGGCAGTTCGTTCCAAAATCGGACGATATGTAGGAAGAATATCTCTAGAAACGCATTGTGGATGAACACAGTGATTCCAGATGGTGCGAGTGAACCCTACTGAGGTAGCGGAATGAGCGATAGTAAAAAGGAAATAAAGCGATCATCTCGACGACTCGCACGCACGGCACAAAAGACAGAAGGAATCAAAGTTCCTCCAGAGGTCCCAAACGATCCCTTTGTACGGGATTATCGACAATCCGAATGGCCTTTTCCCTATGAAGTCAATTGTTATACCGTGTGTTTATCTATTAGACACTAGCTGACCCGGCAGACTTCGTAGTGCCTCAATCGATAAATAAAAGACCTAAACTTTTGTATAAAATAAACTTAAAACAAACAAAAGGAATAGGTCCGACGGGGGGACACGTCAAAGGAAAAACAAAATTGTTATTTTTATTTATTTCCGAGCATTTTCATATTTATCTACCTTTTAAACCTTCTCTGGATTTCCACAAATAATTCAAGACCAAAATTAGCCAAATCGGTTCAGCCGTTCTCGAGTTTTAGTGAGACTAACGAACAGCAATTCATTTTTATATATAGAGATGAAAGATTAATGTGAATACTGTCAATAACTACTTCTACAGAATAAGTCTTCTAAATTTAGTAGATTATAATTATTTATTCATTTCTTGTAGACGGCGCATGCAGCAACTAAAGCTATGGCAGCAAAGGGAGAAAGAATGGGCGAGGACCAGACCGAGGAAGGAGAAAAGCACCAAAAGGAATATTTATTTTAGCGACAGTGTCATGCTACTAGAAGCGGCAGCAAGAAATGATATAGATGAAGGTACTCCTGAATATGTTTTTTTTGTTTGAATGATGCATAAAAGTTACAAGGAATCGGATGTATCGTTTCGCTGCTGTTTCGCCTGTGAAGTTGCTTTCGTTTTTACTTCAATACAAAACGGTAAGGTAATAGCGCCTTGAGTACCGCCCCAGTGTGGGGTATGCAAAACATACCATCTGAAAAAATTAATTAGTCTGTAAATTCGGTTTACGGGTGACAGTTTTACATGATAACGTCAGTAGCAGAACTATTCGAACTACTAGCTCTGACGTCACGTGAGAAGAGAGATAAATGTCACCATGCCAACGCTCGGACCGATCGTGCCTATCTATCGCTTGTTTCGCGCTCTCGCTTGCAGGCTCAGGCGGAACGTGACACATTTTTGTGCGTGCAGCCGGTGTTCATCGATTTATAAGACGTTATCACGTCAAAATAAGTGTATTAATCATCGGTGTACATATTGGAAATTCAACATAATATTATGTCTGTCAAAACTAAAACTTGTATCTAACGATTCTTGGTAGGAGAATTTTCTTATCAGTCCACTATAAAATTCGGAAGCTAAACGTGTTCTTAATCTGCTCAAAGGCTTATCTTAACCTGATATGTTGTTTGATTTTAGTTTATTTGACATTATCTGTTTTAATTAAAATCTAATTATCTTTTATCCGATACTTCCTTACGTTGTTGTACTCTGGGTTTTTATATTTACGACAGGAGTCTCGTAGTTTCATTGAAAAATAAGTGCAAATTTATTAAACTTATTGTACAGTTTACAAAACAAAAGGTTCTGTGGCCTAGTTTACACGAAGCTTTGAACAATGTCATTCGAGTCTTTTGATGTATTGCTATAGATGGGTTGACGAGCTATCTGGTAGTAAGTCTTTACTGGAGCTCATAAAGATTACGTGATTACGGCTACCCGTCGAGGTCTCAGTTGGATTTTAAACTGGCTGTTCCATCGGTTTGAAAACTGGAATCCATGACTACTTAACAGCAGTAATAGGCAATCTGTAGTAAGTCACTATACGTGCCTTCTGAGTCAGATACGTAGGTATTGCATAAAATCAAAGTCGACGGCTTCTATTTTTGTCCTATATTTCTGTTCAATTAAAGGAAAATAGGTTAGGTACTACATTATTTTAATTGGTACTCGCAGGATTTTAACCCCGACAAATCGTATCGCTCGGTCCGAGTACAGCGAGCATCATAACTTTTAGGTCACAAATATTTACTAATCTGTGCTCTTGAATGCTGAAATAGCATAGTAGCTTACTGGAAACGTTGATATTTTAATTGTTATTGTATTATTTTTACGATTAGAAACATAGTATAGATGTTGTAATATACTAATGCCGTAATTACAGTAAGAACAGCATTATTCAACTTATATTGTTTATAGGGTTCCGGTAACCATTTACCAACACGTGGACTTAAACTCGTATAACTTCAATCATTAAAAATACGCAATGACAAATATCATTTATATACGCCATAAGAAACACAAATGTTACAGTTTTAATCGTAACATTAGAATTGCTAAACGTATTGCATGTCTTGCACTGAAATCGATATAATCGCAATAACACACGCCATTTGAACGTTTTCTTTAATTATAGTTTGTCAAATTATGTTATAGTCTTATACGCGGGACAGTGGGCAAAGGAATGTTTCTATGTTGAAAATTGTTCGATAATTCGTTTTTCGTACAGAACTTAACTCTATAATTTATTATATTTATAACTGCCGAGTGTTTTAAGTATTGAAATCCACTCGTGCGAGCTTCCAACATTCTTACTAACACTAAAAAATAGGATTAGGGGGTATTTCAATCCTAAATGATGGATGGAGATAAGAAGAATAGGTGAAGGTATTTTTAATATTGGTGGATGATAAGGCAGATGGTAGGTAGCTACTATCCTCTGTGAATAATGGCTGGATATTCACATTGATATTCGTCTAGTCGGAGACTCTTAACAGAGTAGTCATGGTTATAGTACACGGCGGATCTTCGTTGATGTTTTCATTTCTGAACAGGGTAGTTCTAGTGTTATTTATTATTTATTTATTTATCTCTGTGTCCACTAGTAACATTGCGAGAACATTAAACTCTAATGGATTCAATAGTCTGATCAATAAACTTAGTGCAGCGAGCGGGTTTCTAGAGATGAGACATAAAAAATTAACAACCTAATTCACTAACATTTCATTAGCACTATAAACATCAGGAAATGTACTCTTACAGTTCGAAGATTACTCGCGCGCGGCGTTACTCCGGACGCTACAAACGAGGACGGCCTAACAGCTCTGCACCAATGCTGCATCGACAACAACGAAGCGATGATGCGTCTTCTACTCGATCACGGGGCGAACGTCAACGCGGAGGACAGCGAGAAGTGGACCCCGCTCCACGCGGCGGCCACCTGCGGCAATCTTAATCTAGTCCGAATATTAATACAACGCGGGGCCAACCTACTGGCTGTGAACGGAGACGGGAATATGCCATACGACATCTGCGAAGAGGAAAGAACATTAGACGCGATAGAAAGTGAAATGGCAGCTAGGGGTGTGACGCAAAGGTTAATAGACGAAACGAGGGCTGCTACTGAGATGAGAATGTTATTAGACGTGGCGGAACTAGTCAAGGAGGGTATGGATTTGGACGAACCCAGGGACAATCAGGGAGCGACACTGGTAGGTATTATTTATTCAGAAGTAATGTTACATACTAATAGTTAAATAAAGTTAGATTAAAAATCGCCATTCGTCTCCATGCATGTGTAGCTCAAAGAAAAAGCTAAGAGCGTGTGTGAAAAAAATATATAGTTTTCTCAATTTATAAATAAATGCTGAAAATTGAAGTCCCTTAACTCTCGAATCCATCAACTCTCGAAATCTGAATTATAACATTGAATCGGTCCGTTGTAGTATTTAGGCAATTTTTAAAGTTAGATTTATTTAAATTTTAAATAATACGTCTTATGTCTAGTGGTTGAGTCTTTAAGAGACAACAGTTATATCCGAATATATCAAGAATGATAATTAAATTAATGTATTCTAAAAATAATTATGCACTGGTTTATGTTTAAAAATGTATTGTTTTTTATTTCTAGTTGCACGTGGCTTCTGCGAATGGTTACATGAAAGTAGTCGAATATCTCTTGGAGCATCGGGCCTCCACCGATGTGGTGGACCACGACATGTGGCAGCCGGTGCACGGCGCGGCCTGCTGGGGACATGTGGGTATCGAATATTTTGAGACATTCTTAATTTGCATAGGTTTAAAAAAAAGCATAAAATAATCGATTGCCGTTTCTTTCACTCACGGCTAGAGTGCGAAAGAGACGACTCTAGGTTCGACATGTCACGTTCCGAGACACGATTTGAATAGGTTTAGAAAAAGCATAAAAGAATCTATTGCCGTTTGTGTCGTCAAATTTTCCACGGGTAGATCGCAAAAGGGACGACTGTAGGTTCGACATGTCACGTTCTGAGATACAATTTGAATAGGTTTAAAAAAATCATTAAATTTGATGCCGTTTCTTTCATCAAACTTCTCATGGGTAGAGCGCAAAAGGGACTTCTGTAGGTTCGACATGTCGCGTTCCGCTGTTTCAGATCTTGACCGATTTTATTTACTTATTTCTCCAAAATATTTCAAAAAAGCCCGCGCTAAAAAAAATTTTTTTTTTTTTTTATATAATAATATGAAGACGACGAAAATTTATAATAATAATTGTTTATTTGTGAAAAACTTGAAGAGGGTAGACAGGCTGGGACGATCTGATGTACATACTTGGACCCTTTGGACAAACCTGTTTTTCCCTTTGCTTTGGAAAATCGGATTTTTTTACTGCCCGAGCAGGCAGTTGTGTATACGGCCCTTTTTACCTGATGGTAAGTGGTTACCGTGTTACAATTCTTAAGCGTTACGATGTTAAAACATCGATTTTTATGAACGATACATCGATGTTTTTCAAACATGCTTAGTTTGCATCCCTACTCAAGACGAGACCGTGAACTAATACAGCTGTAGAATATGATTAAAACGTATGCTTTATTTCAGTTCGAAGTATTGGAGTTACTTGTGCAGTACGGCGCCGATCTAAACGTCCGGAACAAGCATGACGAGACGCCGGCAGGTGAAGCATTTAACATCTAAAAATAATCTATACTCATACTGATACAAGGATTTGCCTTCGTTCGTTTGATATTGATTAGACGAGACGAAATTGTAGGCTGAGATATTTATTTAGAAGACTAGTCGCGCCCCACGACTTGACTCGCGTAGGCCATTCTCTTGCCCATTAACTACAAGTCTGTAGGTCCGTTCGTACGTGAAATCATGAACCAGCGAATACATGTTTTTTTTATTACATAGATGGTTGGACGAGCTCAAAGCCCACCTGGTGTTAAATGGTTATCGGAGTCCATAGACATCTACAACGTAAATGCCGCCACCCACCTTGAGATATGAGTTCTAAGGTCTCAGTATAGTTAGAAAGGCTACCCCACCCTTCAAACCGAAACCCATTACTGCTTCACAGCAGTAATAGGCAGGGTGGTGGTACCTACCCGTGCGGACTCACAAGAGGACCTTACCACCAGTAAAAGACAGTGTGATTTACGACGATAAAAGGTATCCAATGTATTAAGCCAGGTTATGTGAACTAACCTTGTCTAAATCCGCTTAGACATTTTTACGTGATTCAGTTATAAACTACCGAACAAACTTTTACGTTTAAAATATTATTATAGTATGCATAAATCGAATGTAAAATAGTATTTGAAAAAAATATTTTGTTCTTTATAAAAGAAATACAAATACAGGGAAAGAGACGGTATTTTTTTTCTTTTTTGCCGAGAAAACAACTGGATTAAAATTCGCTACGACTGACGTCATTCGGGGCCAAGACAATCGATGAGCCAACCACAGACTATAACAATGTACAACGATTAGCTACATTATGACATCCGTTGCGATTTGTGTTCAGCTTCCCGATAAAATTGTCACATTTTATTAAATGATTTAAAATGAGAATTAATAATGTTAAGCATCATCATCATTCTTCGTCTTTCACGCAATCCATCCATTTCTCCTTAGGTCTACCTCTTCATCTATAGCCTTGCAAATTCATAGTTAACACTCTCTTACCAACTTCATTGTCATTTCGTCCGATCACATGTCCATACCATCCCAAACGCGCACTTCCAACGTCTCTGTCACAGGTGCCACTTTCAGACTTCCTCTAACATAATCATTCCATATTCTATCCATTCTCGTTACTTCTCACATCCATCGCAACATTCGCAATTGAATAATAATATAATAAAATAGACTAATAAAATAGTCAAATAGGCCTTATTACAACTATGCCTACAGTATGTTTTTATTTTGTCACCTAGAGAACAGCTATTGTTAGTTAGCTCAGTGACTTTGTTACTATTTTTACTAAATTTGCTACGTCAACGCACCACAAGTGTTCATCGAAAACTGATTTGTTTTTTTATTGCTAACGAAGACCAGTCTTGAATCCAACCAAGCCACTTATCGGGAGGTACACGCTTCACTCCCCATCTTAGTTACCATCACTCATGGACGTCAACAATGCCAAGGACACAGCCAAAGTGCTGCCCTTTGCCACCCACTCATACACCCACAGCTACCACACACAGGCTTGAAGAACATGTAGCGCTCAAGAAAAATTGCGAGTAGGAATTAGGCATGAAATCCATTGCGATCTTGTTGGACATATTTTTTATAGTACTAGTGTTCCCGCAGTAGTCGAAATTCGACTATAATTAATTAAAATTATAAGTTTGGACATTATTATAATTCTATTGCCAAAGACTATTATATTTCTATATTATATTATATTTCGCCAAGACTACAACTACAGACAAATACTCGTAATATTAAATATAAACAATATTAACCTATTCTCAATTTGACTACAGACTTTAAGCAATAACAAAAGTTTGACAATAAACAAAGAGTATATGTGTGTGTCAAATACATGGTAGTGTGTGTAATGTTTTCTTTATTGATTTAATGTATTTTTAATACATAATTTAAAAAAAAAAAATTAGCATTCTGCACTTCTTTTCTATATTATCTATAAGTGTGGGAAATTTCATACTCCTCCGTCCGCGCAATTTTCGTAAAAATGGGTACAAAGCTTTTGCTTCACGTATTAATATATATAGTATTGTCGTGTGGTACAGATATATGCGAAGAGGGCGAGCTACGGAGCCGCATACTGCGTTTGGCGGCCGAACAGGAGGAGCACCGGCGCCACTCCGCCGCCGACCGTCTGCGTAGCGCGCGCCGCTCCTCCTCTACCGCCAGCACCAGCAGGTACGGACTGCTCCGTCATCCTTCAGCACTAGGAACGTACGTTTTATACTTTTGGGAACCTAAAATCGATTAACGGATTTTAGTAAATGAATGAATGATGAATGAATGAATGAACGAACGAACGAATGAATGAATGAATTAAATGAAAAACATAACTGTCCATAATTGAGGCCGTCAGCGCAAAAGTAGCCTAAGCTTACCGTAGGTAGTATGGAGATAATGAAGTCTGAATTTACTTTTACACTGCTTTGTAGGCAAAACTCTACCAGCTGTAAAACCTTTTTTACTGGTGGTAGGACCTCTTGTGAGTCCGCACGGGTAGGTAGGTACCACCACCCTGTGTATTTCTGCCGTGAAGCAGTAATGCGTTTTGGCTTGAAGGACGGTGCAGCCATCGTACTGTTAAATGAGACCTTAGAACTCATGTCTCAAGGTAGGTGGCCGTATTTACGTTGTTAGATGTCTATGGGCTCCGGTAACAACTTAACACCAGGTGGGCCGTGAGCTTGTCCACCCATCTAAGTAATAATATATATATATATATATATATATATAATCTAGTTAGGATCCGCATTCTGCATCAAACTAATTTCATTTATAATAAAACAACAAAAAAGTGTGAAATAAAATTGATTAATTAAACTAAAAAAGCAGATAATAAAAATGTATCTGTGGGTAACTTAAATGTACTTAACTGTCCGTGTTACCATAACTAATATTCAAGTTACATTTATATTGTAGTGTTTTAGATCTACGTTATAAAGCTCATATTTCGCTTATTGGTATATTTTTAATGCTGACGGTATTTTGGTTTCATTAAATAATCTGCTAATATAATATCGAATTAATGTCATCTCGTGACGTCACTAATCCAAATCGCATCATTTAACATTCTGATGGACTTTTTGGCGGGAAGGCGAGTAGTGAAGTTGTGTTATTTGTTTTATTTTGTCTATTTAGTGTTTCTTCAGGTTTAAATGTGTAATAACTGTGGTTTGTTAACTATTTTATATCTGTGAAAGTGCACAAATGTCGGAAAATGAAACAAAGCCACTGGACGTAACTATTCGGGATCCTCCAAAAAGTCCACTGAAAATATCTCAGTAAATGACCAACCACCATTTTACTGAGATTATATTTCATTTAATTTCATTCCAAGTTGATTAATGTCTCATTTCATTTCACTCCATATTATCATTTTTCATAAATTCATTTCATTCATGACCCAAAGGTATTAGTTACCGGGTCATAAAATCCCTTAAAAAAATTTGATTTCCGAATGATGTTCCGTGCATCGTATTACAATCTAGTTCGGTTCGCAGAGTGCGGTCGGTGCGTCGGACGTCGCTCAGGGAGAAGCAGCTGACGGCCAAGGCGGACGTCCGCGGCGAGGCGAGGCTGCGGGAGACGTTCGATTCCGTCGTCGACGACGAACTGCAGGTGTGTCTCATTCATAGTTGCAGTCGGCTCCGGTGGAACAACAAGCTAGCTCTTTTATTAGCATCATAGATTAAGTCGCGGACTATGAATATGGGTCAAGGCGGGCTTACCGTTACTTACAACGCACTACCGCACTAGCGCTCCACAGCTCGATGTTACAGAGGGAACGACCCACAGATTTACCCACAGACACAGCCCACTGAGTTTCTCGCCGGATCTTCTCAGTGGGTCGCGTTTCCGATCCGGTGGTAGATTCTGCGAAGCACTGCTATTGCTAGGGCCAGTATTAGCAACACTCTGGTTTGAGCCCCGTGTAGCCCTAACCTACCTGACGCCCTAACGTGTAGGTGAGCACCTACACGTTAGGGCGAAGGTGATATAGCCTCTCAAGGCTATCAGCATAGGTAGGAGAAAAAAAAGAGGGTACGTTTTAAAGTAATAAAGTAAAGTAAATATAAATAAATATAAATATATAAATATTTTACTAACAATCACGCCACGTCAACTGGTCCCGTGATAAGTTCGTAAAGAACTTGTGTTACAGGTACCAGATATCGGAAATAAATGTAAGATTTTTATTATACACATACATATATTTTATAAATACATCCATAACCCGGGAAAAGACATTTATATTTATCATACAAATATCTTCCCTTGACGAGATTTGAACCCGCGACCCCGTGACCATGTGTGTGTAGTGACCATGTCACTTACCACTACACCAGACGGACATTAAACGGACGGACGTTGTCGGTGTGTCGCGTTCCAAGGAGCTGGTTCTGATCCAGCGCGATATCCTGGAATACGAGTGATACCACCCGACAGTGGAGTCATGTTCGCGTGAGTCTGGTTGTAGCTCATCGTACTTCACTTGGGCTCTGTCCCGGGTGGGGCTTAAATCTGTGGGTTGGAACACAGAGGAATAGTTTAGTTGGTAGTTTCGACAGACCCACGTATTTAACGCGCTCCCCGGTGCAGAGATCTCGTTGAAGATTCGGTCCTCGTTCTAGAAAATGATACCATAAACACCGGGAAACATAGTATACAGTCAGAGACAGATGGTACATGTACCTTTCCATGTACAAACCTGTGGACGAACCCTGCTCCGGGGACTGGTGGTACTAGCGCTATAGCGTAAAGAAAATCTGACGGGATCATTTTAAGTATAAAGGAGAATGAACAAAAGTCGTCTAGCAAAGTTGCATGTTGCTGAATCAAAATAACATCGAAATAGTTTTCTCATTTTTTACAATCAATTTCACTACAGAAATGTTTTGTTCTGTTTGTGGGCTTAACATTATTTATAGGTTATGTCCGTTTTGGTCTAATTGCTTGAAAACCCGGTTAATTATGGGGAAGCGAACAATTTTATTCGATAATATATAAAGCGTAGTCTATACTAATATTATAAAGAGGAAAGATTTGTTTGTTTGTTTGTTTCGAATAGGCTTCGAAACTACTAGACCGATTTGAAAAATTCTTTTTCCATTAGAAGCCGACATTGTCCCTGATGAAGATAGGCTACTTTTTTAAAAAAAAAAAATTATTTTATTTTTTTGGTTTCATGTGTGTTTTAATGTTTCCGAAGCGAAGCGAGGGCGGGTCGCTAGTCTCTAATAAATAAAGATTTATTGTGCAACAACTTAAGACGGAATTCCATACATATGTGGTCATTGTCCTTTGCTAACCAAACAAAACCAGTAACAGCATTTGTTAGAGATTAGAATTCATAGCAACTGATGCGTAATTGAAATTAGCTTTACGATTAATTTCAATTTTATTATATCAATACTTTTTTTTTTCGATATTTTAGATACTATACTGTTTTCGTGGTAACAGACAATACCGTCTAATTAACTCCGTCCAAGTGACCGGGATTCTAATTGTGACGCCGAAATCCCAACTTAAATTAAGTGCCAGACGTAAAAATACTATTATATAAATTCTTTGTAATATGTACAAAGAAACAAGTTTCAGTAATTTAAAAAATATATATGACCGTTACATAATATATTCAAATCGGTAACCGTTTAAAGATTTCGAAGCGTCTGAAATAATCAAATTAAAATAATTAACTCATAAATTAAATTCGATTATGCATTACGTCTCGCGTGTCAAACCGGAAAACTGATACTAGTTGTCCGTGAAACCTGAGCCTTCACGACGCATAGTCATCTTCCTATTTACAATTAAAAAAAAACCTATACGAGTTAGATGAGGATATGGCCCAAAGACTGCTGTTGCCCACTGACATGAGGTACCTCTTGGAAGCCTTATCCAATATCTTTCTCTCTATTCGGTGGTAGTATAAAGTGGTATTCGAGCTACGTGTGCGGACAGGATTTTTCCGACCATATTTGATGAAAGATATTCCAAAGAAACATCGTGGAAGGCAGTTCATTCTAGAACCTACCATCGACTGATGATAGGGCCCTTATTTCTGCAGCTACCGTGAACAATACCATTGTAAATTGCAGGTTGATTGTTGTAAACTATAATTTACAATGTAATTACGTAATGGTGATGATCAATTTTTTTTTTACTAAATAGATTGTAATATGTTAAAGTTTTTAAGTCTAAAATTTTACAAAAACTATTTAAAAAAAATAGGTGGGTTTAAAACGAATGTCACATAACTCACAGATAGTCGTAGCTTAGAAAATAAATCATTATTATTGTCACAGAAAGTGTTTGTAATATGTTTTTAAATCGTTGTAACCACGCGATGCATATTAATGAGAGATGATTACCATTGTCGTTATGTACGCTAAACTAAACAAGGGAATGATTTACGCGGCGCATTGCTTTCACTTCACACAATTTCAAATTTCTCCTGGAAAATTACAATAAATTTAACTTTCATCAACATTGACCATTGGCGGTTTGAGATCTCAGCAATGGATAAGTCTTAGATCTCAATAGGACTTTTGTTTTGAAATCCTTATCGTGATGGGTGTCACTGGTGTATTTATAACATTAAAAAGGTGCATCACAATACGAGTATCGGTCTTTATAAAATTTGTATGATGCACGTGAACGTTGACGTCATTGTTCAATATAATAAATAGGTGCCCTGTTTAGCATAAAATTTAATTTCCTTGGTTTTGTCGCTATCACGTAATTTATTTAAAAGATAAAAATTCGCTAATTCTCTGATTTGATACAGTTGGATTCATTAAGCCCGTCGACATTAATAATTTACGTATGACATAGTCATATTACACACGGTTAATAAAAGTATCTCCGAAGTGATTTCATATAATCGACTGGAGAAATCGATTTGGTTGCAACTTACCGGAGAGCCATTTAAACTTTAAAATTTGGAGAAACTATCATAACAAAAAACTTCTTCAGCTATTTGAATGGAGTAAACTCAATTAAAGTTCAATTAAAAATATCTAACTGTTGACCAACGCAAACCAAACAAAACGCAGCTAATACCACCATATCATAATACACCATAGAAAGCACCTTTAATTACAAAGATAAATGTCGCGTATGAACCGAAATGTCATTTAAACCAAATAGCCTTTCACCCCTCGATATATAAACAGGAAAAATATATATAAAATAAGACTTTAGAAAATCCATCGTAAATCTATACTTATATAATATTATAAAGAGGACAGATTTGTTTGTTTGTCTGTACTGAATAGACTCTGAAACTACAGAACCGATTTGAAAAATTCTTTCCCTGTTTGGAAGCTACATGATTCCCGAGTGACATGGAGCATAATCTTTTTTGAAAAAAAAAAATAGGGATCCTTACTTAAAACTCCAATAATGTTACCCAAGGTGTAAAAAAATTGCCTAAAATATTCTTTACATCGCGCGCCCTGCGAAAATTATTGATGATGGAATAAAATAATTTACAACGACTTTGTAGAACACATTATTATTTATAAAATGTGTCATGACAGCATATGTCTAACTATTATAGTTACGCCGCAATAAGTGTTCTTATATTTAAAAAAGTAAAACAACGTCAAATATCGTTGAAATTTTTGTTAAAGACCCGAGCGGAGCCGGAGTGAGCCGCTTGTATAGTGATAAAACTGCGAAAGGGAACCTCACTCAAATAATGAATACGTTTTCATTTTAAAATATTAAAAAATTAAATTTTCACGTCTTATGCAATAAATTTAATGTACCGTCATATTAGTTGAATTACAATTTTATGCTAATTTGACAGCTCGCGCACGCTTTCAAAGCGTTCTTTTGTGTAACATTTTTTTTTTTAAGTTTTATATTACATACTTGTCTTAGTAGCATCTACTTTATCTAAGTAGATTAAAAACAAGGCAGACAAGAACTAGCTACTTTAAAAAATTAAACTTTTTTTTTCATTATCAACTAAAGATAAGTTTAAAGCTCATTTATGCCAGTGCCATGTCAGAATTATGTATAATATTATGATTCTTAATCCATCGCGAACACAACGTTATCATGAATGCTTTAAGTGACTGCACTTAGACTTATATGTATTAGTATTTAGATTATTTAGAAGCAATGTAAACCGAAATACTTTGTGATGAGACATACAATATGTATGTAAAAATTTTCATTAACGAGTAGCACCACTTTTAATCTTTTTATTAGTTTATTCTTTCTAAATTAAATATAAATGAAAATTAGTGGTTTTTTTTCGTTTATACGTTTCTATTTCCATTGATGGTACTTTGGACAAGACTTCTGTTATAATGTTAGCAATGTACAAAAGCTGGGGCACTACGCGCTTATATTAAAAAAATTAGACTGATTTTTTTTTATTAACCTTGTAGGCAGACGAGCGTACGGCCCACCTGATGGTGAGTGGTTACCGTCGCCCATGGACTTCAGCAATGCCAGGGGCAGAGCCAAGCCGCTGCCTACCGCTTAATATTCTCCACAAGCCTCTTTTAAAGAAGGACATGTCATAGCGCATTTCCAACATTTATCTGTCATCATAGCAGAGTGTGGCCTGGTTTTAAATTAAAGCACTGAGTCGCATAGAGTGC